GATCGCGGGACAGTTCTTCGCATTCGATCTCTTCGGGCGACTTCCGCCGGATTGTCGATGGGTTGCCACCTGCGGCGACAGATTTTAGTTCCGTTTGCGAAGCGGAATCCGACGACACCACCGAACAGCTTCTGGAAACCGGGTTGCGGAAACGGTGGTCAGCGGAGGTCACGGCGACCGCGGGTTCTGCCGTATGCCATGTAGAATTACAGCACTCGTCGAGGTCACCGGCAGTAACGGGAGTAACGGATCCCGCGGCAGATGGCGAGATGATCAGGAGCGGTGGAGGCGGACCGCCCGAGCCAAAGTCGCCCGACGACAGCCTGGTGGGCGAGTGGGACGGCGACGGGGCGTTCAGGGACAGGCTGCTGTAGCCGCTCTCGGTGGATCCCACCTGGGACAGGTCGGACTGTGACCGTTTCTGCAGGAGCAGGCTGGACGTGGACTCGGAGTGCCGGGGTGGCGGCATCATCATCAACTGCAACGTGGTGATTGCCGCGTCCGACTTGTTGGGCATGTTGGACGGGTCCGACTGCGTCCGGGGTGTCCGGGACGACCGTTTGAAATCCTGTCCGGCCGAGTTGTTAGCCCGCGGCAGTGTTTTAGATAACTGTTGTTGTTGGGGCGGCTGGTCGACGACTGGCCGCTCGGACAACACCGCGGGGGGCGGCGGTGACGGCGCGGCGACATCCACGGCCACTGCGTCGACGGTTTGTTGTTTACCAGGCGACGACTGTTGTTGACTAGTTACTGTGTTGTTATTGTTGTTGTTGTTGTTATAGTGGTGGAGGTGGTGGTGGTGGTCTAGCTGCAGGGATTGCAGTCGACCGCCACTCGAATCCAAAAGATTGCTGCAGCAATCGCTTCCGTCTGGAGCCACGTTTTCTACATCTGTTTCACAAACATCGTAAATGTTATTATAAAGCGAATAAAAGCGACATCCCAAGGCTACCGCTGTTTTGTAATTTTATTTTTTCTAATAATATACACCTTGTACGAGGCAATTTTAAAATTAACACTTTCGAGTTTCAGAAAAATATTGTTTGGAACAAAAATAAAAGATTTAAATTCAATCAGTTTTGAAAAAAAATACGAATTAATGGAGGAAATAGGCGTGTAAATAAAACGATTACAAATATGATTGTCGTGTAAAGATTTCATACACATCAAATCACCATATCACGTACAACCGAAAAAAGAGTATCAATAGTATTATTTATTTTGTTTATCAAAATTCCGGTGGAATGGTCGGCTGTAGTGCTATCGCAGATCATAGAATATTATAATAAAAATAAATGTTCAGTTAAAAACCGGTGTGCTTGTAATTTTTTCTTTAATCGATCATATAAACCTAGAGCGTACCTATGTATTTATTTAGATTATAAATACTGAACAAGCACCTTACTTTACTGAATTATTTAATTATATAAATAATATAGTAATACGTCAGGTAGGTAATTTATTATATTGTTGAAGTTTTCGGATGTTTTTACTTTAAGCGATCAAATCATCTGAAGCCCCGCCACACCCTACTTATTTCCCTCCTCAACGAGAGCTTTTTTGGCTTACCTTGTGGTTCCACGGCCGCGGCAGCGTCTCCTCGGCCGCCGCTGTTTGGCGACGCCGTCCTCTTGTAACTTCCTTCGAAGTTCGGAAGTCCTTTTTCGCGCTCCCGGGGCTCTCTCTTGTACGCTGACAGGTACGACGCCTTCGATTGACTCCTGCGGACAAAACGATTCGTACATTTAATCAGACCGTTTAGTTTTTCGACGACCAATAATAATAAGACCGACATAATGGCGTCGGTGCATGACTTATGTGAGCGACCGTCGACGCCGTATTACACTATTACCATAATAATTATAAAATATAATAATATTACTGTTGAGGTTTGGGAACGAATAAAAACGGCGCTGCCAACCGTTGCCCTCCGTGTGGTGCGTGTTATTAGTTAGCTATTATAGCTAGCTATATAGGAGTCGCAGCTGCGAAAAGCGCAAACATTTAACGGGGAAATCCATATTACATTATACACGACACCGAACGGCAAACATCCAAGTTGGGTTAGGCACGAATGCGGGGTAATACATAATATAGTGTGCGTATTTTATTGCGCGGTTTACAATTAAAAAAAAAAAAATCCAATCTAATATAATATTATTATCATTGAAACCATTTCCGCAGTGTTTGCAGCATATATTATTGTAGATCGACGACAACGAGGCGAGGTGAAGGTACGTGCAGTACTCAGGGTCTGTGCTCGGGTCAATAGTTTTTTTAATGTGCTATAAATAAGCGCATATAATTTTTTTTTTACAATTATTATTATTATTATTATCATCATTATGATTGAGTTTCGGGCATACACAAACCGCACGCGACGAACGCATAAAATATAATAATAATAATTTATAACGAATGTTGAACGACGACACAAGTCGATAAATATTTTTATAAACGAATAACAATAATATAATATCAAACGACAATAATATTGTTGTTATCATAATATTATATACATATGATTTATGATAATATCGATCGTTTGTCACGTTTTAGACGCGTTTCGTTTTGCGCCGCCGCGGTTCGGTTGCATATAGGACAGAATAAACGGTAAACATTGTTTTTGTGGCATAAAACACACAATAGCGTCGCAATTAGAAACACAATATGACGGGTAAATATTGTATTAGGCGTTAAAAAAGCCGCGGGTCTCCGCAACTACGGTTAAAAAAACAAATAAAATCAAGAGAAGAGACGAAATTAACGCTCGGCCAGGACGTATAATATATATAATGATATTCACGGACCCGGTCATTGTGTGACTGGTGATTTCGCCAATCGGAGCCCAAAATTTCTTTCCGCCGAATTTGTCTCGATTACCATAATATTGCAAACGAAAAAATATAGATCATTCACTATATAGGCGATACACGCATTATGTTATGATGTACACGTGCAGGTCGACGGCGACTTTCTTATTACGATGGAAGTACGTATATGACGTGTTTTTGTCGTAATAATTATAATAGAACAGACCGTGCGACGTTTTTAATTAATATTTCTCACTACTAATATGACGTATTTTATTATAATATTTCGCGCAATAATCCGTCGGCCGTGGCTGTTCTAATAGAGATTTGATAAGACGTGACCGAACACGATAGGAAAAAGGGCGACGACGACGATCTTCGCAGAGGATTCAGAACTCATTTATATATACGTAAAAGGGGTATTTTTTATGGTAAGAGGGAGGTGGGGTGGAAAAGTCTGTTGAAATTTGAACCCATAAATATAATAACTTTAACCTCATTAAATACATTATACGAGATATTGATTAATAAACGATATAATATAATTAGGTAGGAACCTATAATATATATGAAAAAATCGATTAATTTTGTTTCCATCATCATACGTAATGGTAACTACTAAAATCAAAATTTATCTTGATAGTTTTTATTAAAAAGTATAATTAAGTTTATATATATATAAATTTACGAATCATCGCCACTCTATAATTGTATATATTCAAACCTATTATACTTACGAATATAACAAATTATAAAACCTCTAAGTCAATGTGAGACGCAAATAGCAATAATCACTCAGCTTTTAAAACGAAATTAAAAGTTTGCTCCAATCAACGAGAAGCCCCGATGATCGTTACTTATCCCCTCGGGACCCGCGACTGTCCAAATGAGAAAAAACGCGCCGTGTAATCACGCGGACTCGTTGTTAATAAATACAAACGGCGCGTAACGTATATTACTTGGAAATCATTTAATTATGGAACCATCACCTCCGTCGGACATAATATAATATAAACATTATAAACTATGAAAATAACAGTGCAGAACTGTAATTATTATATACCGTATACTACTAATTGGTACATAGGTACKTTCCGCGGCTGTCCAACGGACGACAGACAACCTGCAGCGATCGGCGTCTTTATAATACGTATCTTCGCGAGCAAAAACCTTATATTGCGTTATTGCAATATGGTACACGATCGCACATACCTACATATTATGATGTTGGAATTAAGTATCTAAACTGATCAAACTACCGTCATCATCATCGACAAATGGAAATTGTTTTTTTTTTTTTTGATATAAAAAACTACCAACTAGACCAGCGGTTCCCAACCTTTTTGAGACTATTACCAAAAGTCAGGTAAGATATTAACAAATACCCCCCGACCCAAAAAAAAAATATATATATATATATATTATTACAATTTCATGTACAGTCATAATACACATGTGTAAATGGATAATAAGTACATAAAATACAAATAAATAGTTTAACTTTTACCCCCAAAAAATTGTGTTTTTACCCCTTAAGGGGTAATTACGCCCAGGTTGGGAACCGCTGAACTAGACAAATGGTCCCGGAGATCTCTCTGTAATTGGTATTATAGACAACCCGGAGAACGAGCGCTGCAGGAAAATTCAAAAATATTTTCAAGTGTCTCCAAGTGAACGTATTATATTTAAATATGTAAAAAAAATCAATCAAATTATAGTAAATGTTGCTGGAAAAATCTAAAATGAAATGATAACAATATACCAAATATGATAATATAGTTGAGCCTTTCCTATGAGACAAATTATCAATCCCAAACCCAAAACGCAAAATCCTGGCTATGTGCCACTTACAAGTCCCAAAATCTGCAGTTTATTACTATTTATTAGTAGGTATAATGTGACCTGAGCCCATCGGTGGCGCAACTAGACATATTTGAACAAAGAGGCGTTTCAGGGTTTTTTGTGACTTAATGAGACCAAACTGTTAAAAAAAATTGTTAGGGTTCTGCTAAAGACCCACCAAAGCACCACTCTAGTCACGCCAATGTGTGAGCCATACATAATCGTCAATGATACCTATATATTGTAGATAATTTGTATACGACTATACGAGATAAACGTTTCGTCCGCACTATTTATTATTATTACTTTATAAATGTGTTGCAGCGGTGCCCCCGACGAGTCGTGTTCGATATTCGCGTAATAATAACATTATTGCGATTGATCAAAGTCAGTGCGCGAAATCGATATTGTGCGGGCGGCGGCGAGACCTTAGCTGAATATTATATTATTATTTTTCGAAATATTATTTTAGAGGTCGCGAGCGAGAGCTGTTATATCGACAATATCGTTATAATAAGTTTATGAGTTGTAATATTATTGACTATTGCACACACGTCGTCGTCGGGGGCAATTCATTTTTTTGGCGATCGAACGATCGTGACGAGTTTAGCCTCAAAACAAAACTCGATATAATGCATATAATTTTATATTATATAAAACGACAACTACTGGTGTCGGCGCAGACTATATACGGACGACGGTAGGGACCTCGTTTTATTGCGGATTTTTTCGATCGTTGCACAACCGTGTGTGTTATTATATCTTGGCGCGAGCACTGGAGAATTTGTTACCATTCATATTATGCACATAAATAAAATAATAAACCTAACCTACATAATATATATATAATATATAGGTACTCGACAACAACGCGACGTGTAGACTAATGATCCGGCGACACGTATAATGTATATACGACACCGCCATGATTATTATTGTTAAAATTTATTTATATTGTATCACATTGGAATTATTTATTATTTCGCAGATTCGAAATTATTGTTTTCGGCAGACAAATTGCAGGCCATTTCGAGGTCGCGTGCTCGACACTTACGTATAATGATCCGCCGCCGCGAGGTCGGTGCGACACTGATCGAGAGCTCATTGTGCCGCGGCGAGGTGTTATCCGCAGCGAACAATAACACGCGGGCCTCAAAACAATCGGTTGGCGCGGAGATCTGTTTATATCGTACGAGTGAAAAACGAGAAAATCAACAACAATAACACGTCACATAGGTAGGTAGGTGTTACGAAATTCCGTCAGCGGCGGCGTTTTGACACGTTTTTGAATTTAACAACTGCAATAACTGATATATAGGCAACTTATATGTTATAATACAGAAATTATTATTTATATTCGACCGCGACGAAACCTACAACCATCGTGATAACATATAATATACCGCACAACTGCGAATTAAACATGTGCAAACTGCACGGTGTATACCTACATGCCTAATAAACTTTTCGTTGAACACCCAAAGCGGTCAGAGTGGGTGCAGTCTTCCCAATACATCACATAACACACGAATTCACGATAAAAATCTAAAGCGGGGCGTCAAAAAAAATAATAATAATAATAAGTAAATAACCGCAAAAACAACACCACATCCGTATGATATTATGACGTGCCTCTCTCGTGTTGGATTAGAAAAAAATAAAACCGCGAAAGTCCGATCTCCCCGCGCGCCCCGGTCACATCACGCCGACCAGTCATCGTAGGTATAACATAAACATAATATAACCGCACTCATGGTATCCTCTCCCGCGCACGCACCCGCGTATACACTGTTTGTACATAGTATAGAGGTTATACACTGTGCAATTAAAATAACGTTGCATTAAGTCGTCGCACGCACATCACATCAGAACAGCATAATATTATACTTTATTCGTACACACACATAATATATAATTGTTATGTATAATACCTGTACAACACGGACCGCGAACGCAACGGGATACTCTAGGCGATTTAGGCGAGGGCAGTTTGCCGGGGGGGGG